TCATTGGGAGGGATTGTATGTAACGAGCAAATCCTTGCTCAACAACTGTCACTTGACCGCGAAAACGTCCGAAGTTAACATTATCGTTGGTACTCATGGCGAAGTCGATAGGGACTTGGCTTGGCAACTGGAAGGTCAACAGTTCAAGTCCCAGCAAGACCAAGTGCTACCGAGGTGTCCCTGAGCAAGGCACCGTTCCCTACACTGCTCCCCGGGCGCCGTACATAATGGCAGCCCACTGCTCCTAACACTAGGATGGGTCAAATGCAGAGAAACAATTTCCCCACAGGGATTAATAAAGTATATCAAAATCAAATATTTAGATGTGCATAATCATAAAGGGATTATTGCTGCCCAGTTTTTCGTTTTGAGCCCATCAGCCACTAGGGGTAGCATTTAGCCCATTCCACAATTTAACAAAAATACACATGGCTCAGTTTGAGTTATTGAGGCAGTGGGACAATTGCCGATAAACTTCTGGTCTTCTGATAAAGAACAGCAGCTTGTCTATTTACATGTTTTACATCTTCACACACACACACACACACACACACACACACACACACACACACACACACTCTGTACATACAGCTAAATGAAAATGGATATATTATAAGTTTGTACAATGAAATTAAATGTAAGTAAAGAAAATATAAATAAACAAACAGTATACATACAGTTTATATACTCATATATATCTATAGAGTACACATAATACAAATACACAATATAAATATATACAGAATAAGTTAGTCACACTTTAGCAGACTAACCTACTGCTACTAGATAAACTATAAACATAGGATATATACGAGGATGTGTGAAAAAAAGTAGAATTTCTAAAATAATGTAAATGTAATACTTTTTGCATTATACTGTATATATCTCTATAGTGTATTCAATATTTATAGTTTTGTTAATAGTGTCTGTGACCTATTGAAACTGTATATACTTTGGATATTGTGTATCCGTCAAATATATATACTTTAATTATACCTATAAATTAAACTGCACTTTGCTGCTTCTTTTGCACTTCTGGTTAGAACTGCAGTTGGTTGTCCCAGTTCAATGATAATGAAGTTGAATCTAATACAATACCTTCTTGATGTGTCACGTGGACATGCTATGAAAGCTGCTGTGTGTCTCTGCAGATCCCGAAGCGTCTGTACAAGGCTCTGTCTCTGCTGAAGAAGGAGTACGAGCTGAGCAAACTGCAGCAGCGGCTGGGCCGAGAGGTAGGGGCGCGTCACTGAACATGGAGGTTTCATACACCGCTCTGCTGCACCCCCTCACTCCTTAATGTGTGTCCCTGCTCTGCTCACAGGTGGAGGACAAGATCAAACAGACCCACAGGAAGTACCTGCTGCAGGAGCAGCTCAAGATCATCAAGAAGGTAGAGAAGAGCGTCCGTCTGTCCGTCGCTGTGTCCCTCAGACCTGCAGCTTCATGTGTTTAATCTGTCTGTGTGTCTGAGCAGGAGCTGGGTCTGGAGAAGGAGGACAAAGAAGCCATCGAGGAGAAGTTCAGAGAGAGGCTCAAAGAGATGACGGTCCCACAGCACATCATGAACGTCATCAACGAAGAGCTCAACAAACTGGGGCTGCTGGACAACCACTCCTCAGAGTTCAAGTGGGTGTTGTGTATTTCTTGTCCGATCAGTGTAAGACAGTCTTTGAATAATTCTGTCATTTGGTCACTTCCATCTGGATACTTCATGACTAACTCTCTAGGATAAACTTAAAGTGTCATTTATATTCATAAGTTCTTGTTTGTTTTTGTATTGTTATATTCTAATTGTTACAAATGGCTTTACCCTATTCCAGGTGTTGACATGATTACATGTGACAAATCCTACATTCAATTTTGACTGGCAAGGAAGATTTGAAATGCTTTATTTTTTTATAATGTTTTGAGGAAGTAACTTTTCTCAGCAGGTTTGCTAGTGGTTACATGCTTAGGCTGCACAATTAATCAACATTTCTTTTATCACAATCGCAATACGGTCTAGTGCAATATTCAAATTGCAGGATGTACAATATTTGTTAAATGCTAAATATGCATTAAAATACAATTTTCATAAAGTTTTGTGGAGTTGCAGAGGTATTCCTGCCTACCAATTGTATCCTACAACCTAACAAAACATGTTCGGTACAGATCCTATTTAAAAAAAATCTCACCATAATAACTTATTCTATGAAAAAGACAAGTATTATTAATAAATGATCATTCAAATTATATTGTAATTTCAGGTAAATAAATCTCAATTATTTTATTTTTTTTCAAATCGTGCAGCCAGGGTACATAGGGTGTGTTTGAGAGAGAAACACGGACAGTAGACAGAACTTGGATGCATGTAAACATTATTGCAAAAAAGATTCCACAGGGAAGCTTTAATGTTCAAATGTACGTAGCTTAGCTTCATCATTAGTATGCCGCTGTAGCTCTGTCAATATAACCGACCAATGAGGATAAACAAACCAACCTCAACAACTGCTTTGTGTTTCAGTGTAACCCGTAACTACCTGGACTGGCTGACCAGCATGCCCTGGGGGACCTACAGTGAAGAGAACCTATCCCTGGCAACAGCCAAAGATGTTCTGGAGGAAGACCATTATGGGATGGATGATGTCAAGAAGCGCATTTTGGTTAGCAACACACAAACACATGGCATCCAAAAGACGTTAAAAATATCCACACATCAGAGCTTTTTCTGATGCAGATGAACATGACCTCCTCTCTCTCTGCAGGAGTTCATCGCAGTGAGCCAGCTGCGGGGCTCCACCCAGGGGAAGATCCTGTGCTTCTACGGGCCCCCGGGTGTAGGAAAGACCTCCATCGCACGCTCCATAGCCAGAGCCCTCAACAGGCAGTACTACAGGTTCAGCGTGGGAGGCATGACTGATGTGGCCGAGATCAAAGGACACAGGTGTTGAACGCTAAACTGCTTTTATTATTACGGAACGTCCTAATGATAGCTTACACTGTCGGTATCACACACATGGCTCCCTCTCTGGGCAGGATTGGGTCATTCAATGGGGGAACATTTGGATAAGGACTAGAAATAACAGGATGTGATGAGTTACAGATGCACTAAAAAAGGCAAAATGTTAGAGGCCCCATCATCAAAGCGTCTTTGAGTTTCCTGAAAAGCGCTATACAAGTCTCATTTATTATTATTATTATTATTATTATTATCATGCTTTATGGGGTTTTCTCTTTCCTGTAGTGTATTATATATATATATGCATGTAAATGTTATGCAAAGGCAGAACATCTCTTGACAGAGCCAGTCAGCTAACCAATCAGAGCAGACTGGGCNACTGGGCTCTAGAGGGTGAAAAGAGGTGCTGCAGCACAGGCAGGCAGTATGAGAAAAATAAAGAGCTTTTTGAACATTAAACATGGAGACATGTCACAGGAGAGACACAGAATACAAATATAAACCTGAAAATTAGCTTTATCCGTCCTCTTTTACATTTTAAGAAAGACTACACCTCCCCAATAATAAAGTAACATGTAACCTATTTTGAAATAACCTAATTTAAAAATATATGTATTTCTAATATGTTAACTAATAAAGAGCAGGCTGTGTCTTTAATAAACAAGCATGTACAGGCTACGAAATAAATTATTTCAATTCCTCCTCTCTGCTAAAGCTGTGGTTAAGAGATGAGCAAATTATCTACAGTATTAGCATAATGACTTTGGTATGGCTGTGTAAAACATATTGGTTGTTGATAAAAGGGGACAGCAAGCTTACTGCGAGTTAATGTGCTGCTTATTCAGTAAATGTTTCATCAACAGCTGTTACTGCTTGCCTTACTGGTGGATTTAACATCATATTGTGCAAGAATAATTACACTTTCTTATTTATTGGCCAATATGTATCATCCACATACAGTTTACAGTATAATGTGAGTCCCTTGTTATCATTTGATGAAATATGGGGGCATGCTTTATCTTAAATGTGATGTGGGTGTGTCTGCAGGAGAACGTATGTTGGTGCGATGCCAGGGAAGATTATCCAGTGCCTGAAGAAAACCAAGACCGAGAACCCTCTGGTGCTTATAGACGAGGTCAGTATAACATGTCAGTTATCTAGCGCTCAGCAGCAAGGGAGCGGGAGTCAATGACTGTTTGCAGAGCCCTGAAACACTGCATCCTAACCACAGAGCCTTGTTTATGTCAAGTTTATCGATATTGAACGTTTCGCATGTCAAAATGGAACAACATCGACAAATAACTCCCTTGAATCCCTAGCAACACTAACTTGGTTCCCAAAATATCCCTTATCGCCCTGTCATTACCAGGTGGACAAGATGGGGCGCGGTTACCAGGGCGATCCATCCTCTGCCCTGCTGGAGCTGCTGGACCCCGAACAGAACGCCAACTTCCTGGACCACTACCTGGATGTTCCTGTAGATCTGTCAAAGGTAAAAGCGTGTCCTCTTGTGTACATTTCCCAAGTCACTGCTACGTAGTGCGTAGTGAAGGTCCTGTGGAGGTTTCCTCGGAACAAAGTGAAAGGGTCAAAGTTGTGTAAGCCTGCCTTTCTCGTCTGCTCCATTCAAGATTCTGTTTATCTGCACGGCCAATGTGATTGACACCATCCCAGAGCCCCTCAGAGACAGGATGGAGATGATCAATGTGTCTGGATATGTGGCCCAGGAGAAACTGGCTATTGCTGAGGTAACACCAACGGATATATATATATATATTCATAGTTCATCATTTCATGCTATTTTGCCTGGTGCTGTTGATCATTGTTATAGAATTGTCATGATGGTGGTGGAGTTTTCTCATAGATTTGGTAAGAAGTAGTTTGTAGAAAATGTACTACATCACTTTTTGTTTCCAGCAATACCTGGTCCCTCAGCTGCGCTCTCAGTGTGGTCTGACTGAGGAAAAGGTTTCCATCTCCCCCGACGCCCTCAGTCTGCTGATCAGGCAGTACTGCCGGGAGTCTGGAGTCAGGAACCTGCAGAAACAAATAGAAAAGGTAAGATGCTTCTTCTGCTCTGGCTGTTTTCAGAGAACAACATCCCTGCTTGTGCCAGAATACGATCACAGACCTCATCAACATTTATCAATCAGAATGTGATACCCAAAGTTCGCTCTGGACCCCAGATTGAAAAAAAGTCCCCACCCTCATCAGGGAGGCCCTACTTAATTTTCACAGTAGTTTTTATACTATTTTGACAGCTTTTGTTCAAATTTCTCCCCAATGTATTTATATTGTGCTACCTCGTGCTACACACTATCATAGGCAAGCCTGTCCTCTCTGTGCAAACACACACACACATCTTGCGGCCCGTGTCCACAGAGCGCCTTTTCTGGCAGGGTGCTGGGCATCTCCCAGCGTTTTGTTAGAGGATCTGCGAACGAAGATGAAAGTAAAAAACACTCACCGGCAGCAACCCCTCAGTGCCCCCCCGGCTGATCTGCTCCACATACCGGCCTTCCGGTCTTTGTTATGACAGCTTCTATTTAAAAGACACGGTCAAAACCAAGCTTCTCCTCATATTCCCCGTGTGATGTCACCGGCGCTTTTCTCAAAAGGTGAAATATGAATCCAACAGTTGCTAAAACGGTGTAGCACGAAGAAAATAGAAGTCGGATGCAGTGCTTAAAAAGGTGCTGTGTTGACCCGTTCCCTGATGCAGCCACTGGGCTGACACTGTAAAAACCTTAACAATACATTATTTTAGCGAACACTGATGATACTCTATTTTCTAATGCAGAGTTTTTTTTAAGGTTTTAAGTTTAAGTTAATTGCTTATTCAATGGCACATCCTCCAGTGTTTTTTACCTTTTCCGTCCGTTTCTCAGGTGTTCCGTAAGGTGGCATTCTCTATTGTGAGCGGCGAACAAACCATGGTGACTGTTACCCCTGACAACCTGCAGCTCTACGTGGGTAAACCCATTTTCACAGTGGATCGAATGTATGACGTCACGCCACCTGGAGTGGTTATGGGTTTGGCCTGGACTTCTATGGGTGAGAGACACACGCATACACACATCAAACCAATACCAATAAAAGATATAACATGCTGAAGGTCTGCCTTTTTTTGTAGGGGGGACGACGTTGTTCATCGAGACCTCTCTACGGCGCCCTTCTGACCCTAAAGGAGAGGGCTCTCTGGAGCTGACCGGTGAGTCATTGTACAGGGGGGAGTTTGTTAACTATGTCTGTTATGTTCAGCTGAACAGAGCATCTTTAAAGTGCTGTTGTTCCTCTACAGGTCAGCTGGGCGATGTCATGAAGGAAAGTGCAAAGATCGCTACAACCTTTGCCAGAGCCTTCCTGATGAACCAGGAACCAGAAAATAACTTCCTGGTCAACTCCCACCTGCACCTGCATGTCCCTGAGGTAACCATGGAGAACTACTACTGCACTATATGTGCTTAGTTTTCTTTCCACATTCTTACTTATACATTACTAGCGACAAATAGTAGGTAAATACATTTTATTCGTGCAGCATTTCATCGCGCAAGTTTGATTTGTGTTTACTGGCATCCCTCAAACTAGAGCAAGTGAGGAGGCGGGGCTTGTCACCATGTAGACACCAACAACGTTTCATTAGCCATGGCCAAAATCACTATTCTGATGCCTTGTACATAGTGTGGAAGTCACACAATCTTCAGATTAAGGACATACCAAGCAATTGTTTTAAAGCCTTTATATTTCTTACTGTCAGAAGTGAATCAGCTGCAAATCAAACGTGTAGCCTGAGAGGTCTGCAACAGAATTTTAGTGTGTGTGTGTGTGTGTGTGTGTGTGTGTGTGTGTGTGTGTGTGTGTGTGTGTGTGTGTGTGAGAGAGAGATCGGGGTTAGACAAAAAGAAGCCTAGGTCGTCAGTATACAGGGAGACTATGACAAAGCATCTTAGTATTATGGGTTTCATTACATTACATGTCACTTGTTAGACGCCTTTATCCAAAGCGACTTACATACTCAATGCTGTGGGCAATCCCCACAGGAGCAATTTGGGGTGAAGTGTCCCAGGGACACAACGACATGCTGACTGCAGTGGGGTTTGAACCTGTGCTCCCCTGATTCGAACACCAACGCACAACCCACTGCACCACACGCCTCCCTCATTTTCATAGTGGAATGTCTAATATTTGTTTTGTTTTTCTTCCAATTTAGAATATTTATTGATAGTTTCATTCACTCATAACAGTGCATCCGTGCTATCATTACTTATAGGCGAGCAAGGTCAGTAGAGAGCAGTCTTTGCATGAGATTGATCTTACTTGGCTTAAGAAGTTTTCTGGACCCAGTGTTGTAGAAATAAAATTTGATAGGAGTTTCGTTGGACGGAAGATTATTCAGATTGACCTGATTAGAAAATCCTGTGATGGTTTTAAAAATCCACAGTAGCTGGCAGCAATGCTTCATCTTATCTGTTTGACAACAACACTTGTTACTTATTTCCAGGGAGCCACTCCTAAGGACGGACCAAGCGCCGGCTGCACCATCGTCACAGCACTGTTGTCCCTGGCAACCAAGCGGCCGGTGCGTCAGAACGTAGCCATGACAGGTGAAGTGTCACTAACTGGCAAAATACTTCCAGTAGGAGGCATCAAAGAAAAAACTATTGCGGTAAGTACAAGATGCACCCAGCCAATCGCATCAATCATCTCAACGCCCTGAAACAGCTGAGCCAAGCACAGATGTTTCTGTAGGCTAAGATTTTGGATGAATTGAAAACCTGACATAAAAAGCTTTCAACCCCACTCCTCTCAGGTTAAAGCTATAATTTTAATTTTTGAACTAGTATTTCTCAATAGTTTGACCTGGATTTTGCGTATCCCCTTTAGGCCCGTCGTGCTGGAGTGACCTGCATCATCCTGCCAGAAGAGAACAAGAAGGACTTTTCTGACCTGCCGGACTACATCAGCGAGGGCCTGGAGGTCCACTTTGTGAAACACTACAACCAAATATACCCCATAGCCTTCCCACAGGACCAGTCTTAACCACATGTTTTTATTTACAACACTGAAACGAAGGCAAGATGGACCAAGACTTATTTTCATGGAGCTCCAGAACCCAGAACCAGTTCGATGCCACGTTATGGTGATTTCTATTCTGGTTATAGTTGTAGTAAATATGCAGTTTGGATCAAGATCCTGTTGTGGAGAATGGGGCTACATTATCTGTTCCAAACTCATCCAGAGGAACAGGGGCTTTGTGATCACACAGACATAACCAGCTTCAGCCTCCACAAGAACTCTGAATGTAGGAAGACAGTGTGATAGCAGAAAACATCTCTGGACTGAAACCACGCAACCAACTGTGCCAACGATGGATATACACAGTAAAGGCCCAGTGATGATGGACACTGGCCGGTCACCGCAGGATATGATGTCATCAATGATCAGAGGTTGAGGTGGCCATCTGGCTGCCAGGCAACCTCTTTACCCGCAGTTGTCATTATACAGCGCTGTGGATGCAGTCTTTAACACAAATCTAATTTTTATACTATTATATGCAGATTTGATGATGATGATGTTGAAATAGATTAAATTATAAAACATAACTCTGCTGGCTGCTGTTCTTGTTACTTATCAAGCTGTGAACCTTTTAATGAGTGATGTCACTTGATTACAACTTTTGCGTAATATCGTGTTTAAAGTCTTCAAAGCATGTGTTTTTCATGAAAGAGAAACCTGTCGGCTAGTTAGGTTCGATTGATGGTTCCTTATGTTTCCATTGCAAATCAACTTTTTATTTGGAGTCATGGTGCATAAGGGCGAAGATAACTTGTTTAGTTTATTTATAAAGGCTAGATAAAATAATCAAGAACCTCAGAAGAAAGCAGCGTTCTGAAAGAAGAGTGCGCTTTGTGTTTTACACGCAGGATAAATCAAATGCTGCAGAACACAGAGCTGTGAGTTTTAAAAATGTAAACTAATGTATGACAACCACACTGCTGTAAAGTGTTCATTTTCATCTTGACTATGGTGTGACTTACATTCAACATTATAAAACAATTCCTTTAGTGATGGTAAATAAAGAGTCATAGGGGGTAGGCTGTATGAATTATTTTAAATATGCACCTTGTCTACTACTATTATAGAGGATACTTTTTTTTACTTTTCAGACTAGTCAAATATGTTTGGCTAAACTAGTGGGCAAGTGTAATCATTGCATGATCTTCATAAAAAGGGACATGTTCATCCAGAGTTGATTGTATTTTGAGTTTCAAGTTATTAACTCTGTTGGATAAAAAATAATGTCATTGTTTCAGAAGCAGCACCATTACAGTCTTAAAAATAACCAGCGTTTTGGATTGACATCTTTGTGCAGAACAGTTTCAACTCGGACTTTTAGGTGAGATGACTCGGTTGACAACCGACCAAGATTACTGGGAACCGCAATTTAAAGCTCACAGAAGACGTGTCCTAAGTGGTACAAAATACAATTCAAATATCCTTATTTTTTTCACGCTGCATGATATATTGGAGCTACTTTCTGCTGAAGAAATAATCCCTCCTCGCAATCCTATTCCGTGACGATTTCTCTCACTGTCCACAGCATGGATGTCGAAGTCACGCCCATCTACTTCCAGTCCAATAGGACCATATTTCTGAAAAGTTATGTATTGAAGTCAATGGAGAGAGAAAACGTATCTCTCGATCCCCTTTGAATTGTGCCATGAATTACACATGATGTTTGTCAATCTTAAAAATTCATTTCTATGTAAAAAAAGTCACAAAGGCAAATTCTTGGCTTTCAGAATATTAAACTTGTTTTGGCAAATTCAGATGATAAATAGGCCTACAAATTTGAAGCTTGTAACGGCATAATTACAAGCGGAGAACGGAGTAATTTAACGTTACTGCAGGCATAACAAAGGGGTTGTGTGTGTG